TATGGAACCACCCGTGTGGGAGGGAGCGCAGCGCCGTCGGGCTGTGGCGGAGGCTCGGGCCGGTCCCCGCGCCGGTGCCGCCCGCCCAGCTCGACTCCCGCGTCCCCAAATAAAACGGGAGCTCTTTCTTCCTTTCAGCACACCCGCTCTCCTCGCCTCTCATTTCTATCCGGTTTCTCTTTTTGTTTCTTCTCTCCTTCTTTCTTGTCTCCCCCGAGTCTCCTTGTCCATCCTCGCCTTTCCTGGCGTCCCCACCCTCCTCCCTGTGTATCTCACCCCACAGCTGTGGTTTAATCCGTTTCCAACTCCTGCCACAGAGCAGGTGCTCAGATACAGTGAATTTAGCTCCGCCCGCCATTGGACAGTGGGGCTTTGAAGCAGAGCTCCCCAAATTTCTGTGACCTGCGGGTTGGCACCCCTCCTGTCACTTCCGTTTAGACTTTGCTTCTTCCTGGTCTGATACAGCTCTCGACGCTGCATTTTTACATCAGACTTTCGGAGCTTTCCCCGCCCTTTGTCTATCATGAACATAGGTATAAATATCGTCAAATCGGGCAACAGAGGATGTTAAAATATAGCTATTTGCATAGATTGCTGGTTACCCCAAGTAGATAGGAGCAAGTGTATCTGAATTGCTGCGTTAATACGCTTTTCATTTTTGTTTAATGACTTTATAAAGTTAGTTTCCTTAAAAAGAATTATTAAATTTTATTTATTCATTCATTTAAAAAAATTAATTGGACTAAGGAGACAGACGGTGAGAGAGAGGGAAAATGAGAAAGTAAGCCACCCGGTCCGTGACTTGAACCATGGTCGGCCATGTGGGAGTGTCCAGCACCACACCACCCACCTGCTGGCCCCTATGAAGTTAGTTTTGACATTAGCCTGAGATGTTAGCTCAATGACTACAAGTTTTGTTTTCTTCTGTTGACCTATGGGAAGTCTTTGCCAAGAGTGAAGTCTGGCTTCTTCCAAGGAAACCTGCCTACTGATTTGATAAAAGCAGCACAAAGGTGCAATTAAAGTTTCACCACCAAGTTTCACCCTCACACACAGAACAAGGAGAATTGGTTTAGTTTGGTGGTGGGTATGAAAGAGCTTCGGCCAAACCCGTGTCTCAGTGTTCTGTTTATAAAAGGAAGCGGGGGACCGTTGTCACCTTGGGAGAAAGAAAGCAGTTTTGAGTGGGGAGTGTGTGTGTGTGTGTGTGTGTGTGTGTGAGGGTCCTTCTAGGAGGGCCAGAAAACAGCTGAGCAGAGCAGGGCACAAGAGTGTGCAACTGGAATTTGGGAAAAAAAAGAGAAAGAACAAAAATGTAAGAACCCCTGTCCCCTTCCAATAAAAGGTTTATCTGTGTATCCAAGGCTCTTGGACTCCCGGAAATACTAAATAGGTACTTGCCAACAACGGAGAAAAGTGTAATATTGGCTCCCAGAGGGTTCTCCTCCTACCGCCTTCTGCCTTCCCTGCCAGTCATTGTCGAGGCCTCAGGGCCTCAGCTATCAACTTCTACTCTGTGTCTGGGTCCTGGGGCTGTCTTATTGCTTGACTGCTACCCTGATCACTGTAGGAGACCCAACCTGGCCTCTCCCCACGCCACTCCATCATAGGCATGTATTAGGAACAGCCCTCTGCTGGGCCCTGTGGTCACAGAGAAGTAACAGACACTGTCCACAAGAATCCCACAATTTAGAGAAGAAGGCAAGATTCTGAGTAAGCAAAGAGGGAGGGGTGAAGGTGGACTCAGGTGGGAGGGGAGCAGAGTCTGCTGTGCCTGTATCCTGCAGGGCACCACAAGCTTGGTCACCTCACCTCTTCCCTCATCTTTCTCTTGTATTCTTTCCTTTCCCCTCCCACCCTTCCTCCCTGGAAAACAGCTGCCGAAATGTTCACTCCTGCAATGAAATCACTGCAGCTTTACTGTGAGGAGTGAGGAGAAGTGGAACTGTGCTCGCTAGTTACTCCTGAGTCACGTTAGGGAACCGTGTTTCAGAACCATGACGTTTACTCATTACTATCAACCCCGAAACTATGCAGGACAGAGAGACAAAAAGCAAGACTTGTCCCCTTTTATTTTTAAAGCATGGCTAAAAGCCCCCCAATACCTGAGTGCCCTCATTTCCTGGAAATCTAATTGATTAAGAACACACAAAAAGCGCATCTTAGTTTCACGGCCTTTCGGATGCAGTACAATTTGTTCTCAATGTCTCTCAGGCCTGTATAAACTCTCCCAGTTTGGAAATCCTCCCAGATTTTTCACAGATGACTAGCAAATATTTAAGGCTTTCAAATATTTTAATGATCAGGGATTAAAGATAATTCAGCTTTAATTAAAGCAAAAACCCCTTTATGATGATAAAAAGCGAGCAAGAGGAGAGAGAAAGACAGACAGAGAGAGAGAGACCTTTGCAGTGTAAAGTTTGGTTGGATGTGCGCCATGGAAGAACAAAGTCAATTTCTTAAATTCACCGAAAGTTTCAACTGTGTGGGCCAGGCTACTAGCAAGGAGACGCCAAGATTTTGGTTTGGGGCACGGTGGTGCGCTAAGCTAGTGGCGAGAGTAGAGTGGCGTTCTGGCCCCAATCGGGTTCCCCTCGAGAACTTGGGCCTGCGTCCTCTTTCCTCTTTCCACCCGGCGCTGCCCACCACATACTGACAGCGTCTGTTGCGGTGTCAACCTTTTCATCTTGCAAACCATTCTCAATTCATTTTGGTTTAGAAAAAGGAGACCCCGCAGAGGAAAGGTCAGACTACAAACTGGAACGGACTGCCTGAAGGAAGGATGGTTGTGGGGAGCGTCCGAGACCGGGG